CAAAAACTTAAAAGAGAAGAGACACGATTATTTTATTTTTCCTAAAACTGCTTGCTATTTTCTAGCCATGATATGCTGGCTTCACCTCTAATCACAGACACCTTATTCTTGATTTTGTCCCGTATTCTTGACCCATGTATCACTCCTGGGTGACCAGACTTTGCAGACATGCTTTGTTGTCTCTCCAACCGCTGTTCTGAGCACATCTGCAAGAGACGGTTAGTATGTCTTTTGAAACAGTTAGTCTTTTCTTAGTACACAAACCTTGGTGTCCTCAAAATCAAGTTTTGAAATACAGCTGTCGAAACAAATTTGGCAATGACTTTACAGGCACCAGAGATTCAGCCTTTGCTGTTAGGGTCTTACTAACCTCTGTTTTCAATTCAGTTCTAGCTGAAAACCTGATAAAACTACATGTGGCTGGAGTGGCCTGTGAAGATTCAAGCAGTTTTCCGTTGGATGAGTGAAGGCCATTTTGAAGTGAATTGCTTGTTAATATTTGGCTCTTTGAAAAATAGCTGTATTCTGATTGAGAACGAGCGAAAAACTGCTTTTTACCTATAGCTGAGTTCCGTATGTTGATGCCAAACAGTAACCTGTTTGCAACTCTTAAATCTCTTTTATTTCCTATTGTCTGTTTCCTTGAGCCTTATTCATTGCCTCTGTTTTTTTCTTTCTTTTTTTTTTTTTTTGGAATACTTTAATTTTCTTTGTGTGACTTTGCAAAAATCCCAAGATAAGTGAATTTCCAGTGGTTCTAATCTCAAAGATGTGAAAGCATTTGAGAGGCTTCATATATGGGATTGTTGCCAACCACTGAGATTATTTACAATGTGACAGCAGTTGAGGAACATTAAAGTGCAAGGGCTTCAGAAGCAAATTGCTGGAGAGTGTGTCTACCCGCATAGAGTATCTGTCTGGAATTCAGATCTCTCTGCTCCTTTGAAAGGCTTTGGAATCTTTTTTTTTTTTTTTTTTTTTTTTTTTAGCTAGAAAACCCCAAGCAAGAAAATATAGTCTTAATCTCCAAAGTGGTGGTGTCGTAACAGTGATTAAGCTTGCATTGGGGATGAATGATACAGAAGTGTGTTCTGAGTTTACACCACCACTGCCCATAACCATGCTGCATGTTCTTCAGGTAGTTTTTGTGTCCATACAAGATCTATATCTTATAAAGAATGATAGATTGCAGCCTGGTAAAGTTGCAGGAAGCTCATGTTAGGGAAGACTTTACATCAAATAGATCCCATTCAAGTGAAGTTTTACAGTGGTTTCTTTCTTTAAAGACATCTCTGCCCTTTCAGATACAATCTCTGTCTCCATTTGCAACCAATATGGTTCCAGATACAGATTTTTACCTTGTCTTCTGTGAAATTCTGATTGTCGTGAGTGTAGACAGGAATAAATACTTGTTTAGCATGGAACTGGGAGGAGATCTTGGCTTTCAGGTAGAAAGCATTAGTCCCTCGAGGTTCAGCTTACTGTGGCTACTGTGATCTGTGGCTACCTTATAACTTACCTGTGCTTCCTGGGCATTACCTCAAGTTTTCTTATTCTATCACCAGTGTCCAGTACTCCTGTTTCCTCTCACATCCCCTGAGATGTCCACACTACAGAAATAAGCAGATTTGGCATAGTGCTTGGTGTGCTCTCCTGCCCATCTCTGGCTTGGAAAACTTAAAGCATCATGTCCCTCTGCAGACAGCTTAAAATATGTAATTCATGTGAGAAATTTCGTTGCACCTGACAGCCATGAATCTCTGGTAAAAGCAGTGAATAATTCCTGAGCTGCAGCACTAATGGACAGCATGAGTTGCATGATTCTCTAAATCCTAGTAGCAATTTTTCTATTTGAAGAATTGAACAAATGACCCAAAGATGGGTAAAGACCAGAGGCTACAACCCAGCAGGTGCTCTCTGCTGCCAAATAGTGTAAGGTTATGGTAGGAAGGCTGAAAGCAAATTTGCTTATTGCCAAAATTGCTTATTGCATTCTGTCTCAGGAAAAAGCAGGTGTCCTTAATGCTACAGAGAAGCCTCCTCCATTTTTCTTGCCCACCATAAAGTTGCACAGGGTAAGTTTTAGTGGGGGACTTGCACTGGTCTTTGGCTGGATGCTGCACCCCCTGACAGTCTGCATAACACCGCTCTGCAAATCATTAGCTAGGGTGGGATGGTTGGTTTGGCCCGTACATCACTATGATTCTGTGTGCATTTGGAGGTGAATGGATGATCATCATAGTTGGATCATCCTGGTTCATCACTCACTGAATTACGTAGGTGTTGCTGGCATTTCCAGCTGGCATTTGAGGATGACAGAAAGCATGAGAGAGACGCGGATACTGTTGTGTTGGTCTTGCTGCCACCGTAACCCTGGTTGTGGGTGTGTGACACAGAAGTCATTTTAGTGTAGCAGAAGAGGCACAGAAATAGTGCAGGGAGGGAAGTTCCCTCAAGTTTAGAGGCAATTTGTGTCTGAGTCCTGAGTAGGGGCCCTGGTTCTTCATGTATTCAGCTGGAGAACGAATTGCTGGGCTCTGACACTTGTCTGCTCCTTGCCTTAGGCATGAGTAAAGCACCAGGCTGAAGGAGATGCTGAATATCAACTGCGAAGTCTGGTTGTGACATTTCATTTAGGATAATTAACCCTCAGCAGTGAAGAGGAGCTCAAGAAGAGCTGCTCAACTGTAGCGTAGGCAGTTCAGCACTAGCATTGAGTTTTTGGGAGAATTCTGTATTCTGTGCTTGCTTGCTCTTTGTCACTGAGTGTAGAGAAGCCAGCTTTGCTGGCAGACGGGCTTTTTTGACATACTCAGGTTGCTAAACTGGTCTTCCAGCCATAGCATAGCATCACAGAGTGGCTCTGCTATGACTGAAGAGTCTTCTGCAGCGCTGCTGCCACTTTTGTAGAGCATCTTCTATGTTAGAGAGGTCTAGATTCTGCTGTTGCTACAGGGAAGGAGGAGAAGGACATGAACTGCTTGTGCTGGCAGCTGGAGATAAGACCGAAACAGCCTGATTTTGGAAGTTGCTGTCTGTGTGCAGAGCACTGTCCGGAACAGCAGGAAATTGAGTGTGACCCTCTTGGGCAGTCTTACCTGGATTTCTCTAAGCAGGCAGAGGAGTCCCCAATCTCCTTCCTGAGCTGTCTAATGAAGAGGCTGGAGCCATGTGGTTCTACAGCTGCTCTGCAAGTTGCTGTCTTATCTTAGTGAAGTTAGGTGGGGTTGGGGATATAAAGTCTGCCATGACCTGTGGTAATCATCCATGTCCTGTCACTGAAATGTCTTTTGCCTGCTTGCCTTGTTGTGTGTATTTCACAATGGTATTGCCTCTGACTGTTCTTCTGTGTAAATTCCCCATTTTATCTTTGTGTCTGTTGATCATTGTCAGAACTTATGCTTCAAAAATTCTACTAGGAAAGACAGCGGAGAAGTTTATTATTGTTACGGGTCTTTCGTGATCCCGTAGTGATGGTTTTGGCCTGGTTCCAGTGGCTGACAGCTGCATGGGGACAGGAGTGAATCCTAGATACTGTAGACACAATCTACGTTCTCCCAGTGTGTGTAGGTTTTCATGTCAGACATCGGGACCCTGAGGCATTCCCTGTTAAATCTCAACTTGCAGCTAGGAATTAGCTGACCAAAAGTATTAGAGGAATGAATAATAATAACAGTAATGAGATATGTCCCTATGGATACATGTTCTTTCATCATTGTGCTTTTATGTTGAGCCAGGAATTCTAATTGGAGTCTGCAGACTGATAAAATTAATAAATAGAGGAGACAATAAGCAGTACTGTTTAATCTCAAAAGGCAGTAGCACAATTTGCAGAAGGCTAAAAGTAGGCTCTGTATAATAAAAAAAGAAAACAAAGTAATGATATCTGCTTAAAATAAATGTACTAATGGAGTATGCATGGATAGCAAAAGAAAATAGGAGAAAGGAGTAAAAATGCAAAAAATGCATGTGGTCACTCTCAAATATATTGACTTATTTTATGGGTTCCAGTTTTAAATACAAGTAAACAAATGCATAATGCATGTCACATTGCCCATGGAAGATTTTTTTTTTCTAAATTATTGATCTAGTTGCAGGGCTGGGATTGAAATAAGTGTGCAGAGCAGTCAATCAGTATTGCACTTGTATATATTCTGTCTTTATTGGAACTGGAATATCTGTGAATGGAATCTAAATACATACTTAATTACATCCTCTGATGTACCCATCTTTCGTCTGATCTCAAACTGTTGCTGTATTATATCACCTGCACGCATCCGTTTCATTTAAGTAAATTTTCCCTCAAATGGCGTATTTCTCGTTACGTATATTGAAATGACTTGTAATGGTTTAAAATCTAGATAATATAGGCATGGACGTGCATGTGTGGATGTATGTGTATAATATATATGCTGAGAAAGGTTGTGAAATCCCTGTCCATGGAGAATTTCAGTGCTGAAAAACCTGGTCTTGCCCCAGCATTAGCCCTGCTTTGAGGAGGAAGTGGTTTAATTTTCTTCAGAGGTCTCATCTGACCTGAGTCTTTCTGTGACTCTGAAGTTTAAAACCTGTCATGGAGCCCGAGCATTGCCAAAAGACTTTTATTGTGTTAATATGATGTATTTCTGTAAGGATTGTAATTCAGGGGCTAAAGGATAGCTCTGTCAAGATGGAGTCTCCTTAACATCCTTAAAGGAAATTAGCCTGACGTTGTTTTCTCTTGAAAGTGCAAAGAGCATTGAGCAGGGTTTTGTTCAGGTCAAGTGCGTGTGTTTACAGTTGGGCATGAGTTGTTGAGTCAGTAAATGGGAATAATAGAGTGAGAACAGGAAGGCAGGACTAAATGTTGGTGCTGACCAGCAGAAGGGTTGTACTTACCTCAGAGAATCTTCTGAGTTTTCAAGTGCATGTATGCAGCAGCTAGGATATTAAATCTGCATGCTGAAATCTTGAAGCAGTAGACACAGAATTGTGTAATGCTCTTCTCTGTCCGTTCCTAGATTTGGGCCACCATAAACTCAGCTTGCTTATTGTTAGGTGACAGCACAGATCTTACCTCTGTCTGCAGCTTCCCCTCCAAAACTGCTCGGGTAAGGGAAAGGTCTGCCTTGCAATTATTTACACACCCTGCTGTTAGGCAAGCAAACCCTGTTAGCATTAGGGCAGTTCCAGTGTAAAACACACATGGAGATAGAACCTCCTTGTAGAAAAAATAAAGCTAAGCGGTTTGCAGCTTAAAGGACTTTTTAAAGGAAAAGTAGGTACAGCAGATATTGTATGTGCATGTACATGTACTTAAGTAAATGGCTTTGAGTCTGGTGTAATGAGTTTGGAAGTGTGGAAAGGAAAACGTGAATTGGTATATTTATCTTTCATTATCAGGTTGATTAATAAACATTGTGTAGTTCGTTTGCGCCCTGCTCTTTTTGTGGTGGCCAGTTTGCCATTGCGTTTGCTTGGATCAGCAAAGAAATCTTTGGTAGGTTTTCACGAGTTCATTTGCTCCCTAGCTGACACACACAGATGTGGAGGAGAGTCTGTCTCCAAACACTCTTGTATATATCCTTGCCTAACAGCCGTTGGATATGATGCCTGATTCCCAGACGTTCAAGTTTGACAGGGCCCTTTGTCAAAGGACGTGGCTTGACTTCTGTGTGCTTTGCTGCCTTGTGCTGCTGTGATTGCGTCTTGTGAGCGATGATATTCCAGGCTATAGAAAGGTAGAAGTGGCATGCGACCAGATCAATGAAATGGCTAATGATGGATGCTGGTGGTAAAGAAGAAGGAGACCATGATCCACATCCTCCTGGATATGTCACTGTATCTGCAGGTTTTCCAACTCAGTGATTTTTTTTTAAAGCAGTACTGAAGGTGAGTGGGGAGGATTGCCTGAGCTTGCATGCAGAGTTTCATACAAAGAAGTAAGCGCACATTTTTATTTGTTTGGAAAACGAACCCAGACCAAATGTCATGGCCCTTCTGTATACAGGGTAAACTCCATGATTTCATCATTAAGAAATCTTTCTGATACATATCCTCTCAACATTACGTGACAACGCTCTTCATAAAGGGAATATCTGCCTACAATTTGTTCGGGAAGTGAGACCAGTGGATTCCTTTGGTTCAAGAAAGTTAGTTGAGGGTTAGAATCACAGAATCAGAGTCATTATGGTTGGAAAAGACGTTCAAGATCATCATGAAGTCCAACTGTCCCTTAAAAACCATCCAGTTAAACCATGTCCCTAAGTGTCTCATGTACACGTTTCTTGAGCACTGCCAGAGGCGGTGACTGCACCACTTCCCTGCGCAGCCTGTCCCAGTGCTTCACCACTCTTTCTGTGTAGAAACCTAGGTCTACCCAGGTCTATCCTAAGTCTATCCAGAACCTCCCCTCATGCAACTTGAGGCCATTTCCTCTTGTTCTATCTGTAGTTATTCTGGAGAAGAGATTGATCCCTGTCTCACTACAGGTTCCTTTCAGGTAGTTGTGGAGAGCAATAAGGTCTCCCCTAAGTCTCTTCTTCTCCAGACTAAACAATCTCAGCTCCCTTAGCTCCTCCTCTTGATGTTTGTACTCCAACGTACAACGGGGACGATCCCTTCCCTGCTCCTGCTGTCCACCCTGTTCCTGACAGCAGCCAGGAGGCCCTTGGCCTTCTCGGCCACCTGGGCTCGCTGCTGGCTCGTGTCGACCCTTTCTCCGCCCTCCGCCCCCCAGCCGCTCTGCCCCCAGCCTGTAGCGCTGCACGGGCTTGTTGTGACCCAAGTGCAGGACCTGGCGCTTGGCCTTGTTGAACCTCATATGGCTGGTGTCAGCCCATGGATCCAGCCTGTCCAGATCCCTCTGCAGAACCTTTCTACCCTCAAGCAGATCAGCTCTTCTTCCAGCTTGGTGTTGTCTGCAAATTTGCTGAGGGGGCCCTCAATTCCCCCATCCGAATCATCAATAAAAGATACTAAGTTCTTCAACATTTTATGCAGTTTTAAAACTGAGGCACGAAATTTATTGGCAGATTTTTTTTTTTTAATATACAGCGACTTTACTGCAGCCAGTAACTTCTGTAAATTCTCAGTATGGGAAATTTGCATTACCCTCTGTAGAGTGTGTTAACCATTGCCTTCTCAGACTCACTTCAAAGCCTGTAGATCGTTCTTTTTCATGAGAACTTCTCCTGTATCTCTGCTGGTAGTTACATGTTCTCACCTGTAATATCAATGAATTAAATAAAAACTGTGATTCACAAAAATTGAATAGGGATGAGTATATGACCTACCTAGATAGTAATAAAAGCTTTGTCAAGCAGGAGATGTCTTTTGCTTTTTGTTTAGTGTTATTTATTATAACTCCTCTTGTATTATCCACAAAAATAATATAAATAATTAAGAATATAAATAAGTAGAATATGACTAATCTAGATATCCACTAAATCAGTCAGCAGACAGATTTTTCTGCCCTGAAGTTGCTGTCTCAAGGATGCTGTTCTGTATCTTGCTAAGGATAATCCCAAACAGCTTGTTTATCTTAGTTTGGTAAGCTCTCTCAGTAATTTCTCGGTCCTTGCATTTAGATCTATTTATTGTTTTCTTGCTTTGGATGCATATAGAAACCATGCTTTTACATGTACAAGCACTGCTTTAGACTTTAATATAATATGGCAGGTATGTTCTTTGCTAAAGAACATACTTTAACTGTGAAGCTTTCATCGTAGTTAAAACATAAGAGGTGGGCAAAGGAGAGTCTCTGTGAAGTTTATTCCTGATGGCTTGTTTTTTTATTTTTTTTTTTAATTTATTTATTTTTTTTTTTTTAGTTTTGTATTGGTAACTTGGCTTCTTAGCTAGCATCTGTCTTACAGACAACAATATTAATTTTTGAATTTGACAGTTTATGATGTTAACTGGGACATGTTCATTTTCTTTTGCCTTTAACAGACTACCTGCTTGGGAACTCCTGAGACCTTTCTGCGAATCAGCAAGGGCTCACCTGCTTGATCTAGAAAGCTCAGCTATAAGTTTTACATATTTTAGATTAATGCACTTTTTGTTATATCTTGGCATTTCTTTTACTTGAACTACATGACAGAGAATAGTACTGGTTTTGTTTTTTTTTTTTCACTCCTATTTCTTTTTTGGAATTTTTGAACTGGTTTTCAAGTTGCTTTATGTGATTGATATTTACTTATTCTATCCTATGATTATTTCCAAGATGTTAGTTGCTAAGGGCCTGGGTTCTGAGTCTTTAAAGATTTTTTTCTTCATTTGTTTTCCCTGCATGCAACTCTTGAAAAGCTAAGATCAATTTATTGTTGTTAAAAGGAGAGCTGGATATATGCATGTAGGTGAACAGGTAGGTAAACAGCAGGAGTATTTAGCTGGAAAATAGTTTACTCCATTTGAATGACTGAAAGCAAATACCTGTTCTTGGTACAGGCCACTAGGAGAGTGAATTACACAATACAACTCTTTAATCTGCCCAATATTTGGTAATTGGAGATGATAGTGTTCCCAGACTGCGACAATTTGCAGGGGTAGCTTCTTAGCACTTAGGAGATCTTGGTTGGACTTTCATAAGTGCAGAGGTAATACAGTTCTGCTTGACATGATGTGTGCTGTTTCAAGAAAACCTGCAAGGTGAGTGAGACAAGTGAGTATTTGTGAGTTACCTTAGATCTCTCGCTGCCGTGAGATATGCACAGAAATGTCTTTAGATGTTCTACGAAATGGAGGGGCTAGGTTAAGGTTCTTAATGATTTTTTTTTCCAAAAAAATCTGACTTGTAGGGGGAGTAGAAGCTCAAGTGTAGTGAATGAATACATAGACGGTAATGACTGTGAGATGTGTGCCCAAAGAAAGAACTATTAATCTTCATTTTTATGTTGGCCTGATTTAAATGCAGGGTATAGTATGCATGGTAATGCTACTGAGCCGTTTAGAAGGCTGTTTCTAAGTTCACAATTTGTACTGAATTTATTAAAAAAGAAGAAAAAAACAACAAGAATAGCAAGAACAACAAGAAAAACATCAATATAACCCCAAGCCAAGATTCTGATTGATTGATACCAGTCAGCACTGATAGATTTTTGGAAATCTGTCAGATTTCTGTTGTGTGTCTGGAGTGGGGGACAGGCATTATTTGTTTATTTTGCATTCTGCGTACTGTGCGGGCGTATACTGGTGACAAGAGTTTGAAAGTTCATTGGATTGGATATTTCATGTATGTGGAGAAAGCTGGAAGTTTGATAGCGACATAGGCAGCTTTCTATTCTCAGTAGCACGTGTTTACTTTAAATTTACTACATCTAGTTTTCTGGCAAAAAGAGGCAAAGAGGCAGAAACACAAGCTCTGTAGGACCCGCAGATTCTAATTTTTGTACTGACTGCGGCTAAATGTCAGCAGGCTGGCGAGTGGAACATCTGCCTGTTTTTGCATGATGCTAGGGTACGCTGTGATCGCAAGACTTAAGCATGCTGGGCTGCTAGTCACAACATGAAGAGCTTTTTCTTTCTCCTTATTTTTCTTGATTGTTGACTGCGGGTCGTTGGTGGAGCCATCAAAATGTTCATAGCTTCATCACACAACAATGTACAACTTCTCTAATATGTCATTTCCTGAATTGTTGCAAATCTGCTTAACTCATCTCCTTTACTGGGGGAGCAACTCTGCTGTGGGACATACAGAGCATAGCTCTGTAAATCCTAATTTATGAGTGATTTATGTTAAATATGAGGGACCTCCCCCAAAAGTGTGCTTTGTCACCTGCACTTAATGATCTCTTGCTAGGTTATAAATTTGATGGTATAAATTTTTCTGTTTCATATTTATCCTTTTAAACAGTACTTGACTCTGGATACTCTAAATGTGTAAAAAGAAAGCTACTTTGAAAATATTTTGCTTGAAACTGAAAATTATTTTGTATAGGGCAGAGTATAGATGCTTTCTCAGCTGCCAAATGAATATGATCATAGCATCAGAGTCCTTGGATATATTAAAAAGTTCTCTGCTTGTTTTGGGAGATTTTTCTGCAGTTGTGCAAGCATCATAAACCAGCTCACAGCAAACACAGGTGGGGTATAGCTCTGCAGCAAGATGACATTGCTCATTTCTGTGGGATGCCTTGCTAAGTGAGTAACAGAGCTGATGTGTTTTTAAAGGAAAATCTTGCACAAAAGGGAATGGGCAGAGGTGTTGTTATTGGCTGGGATCAGTTTGCTAGTCTGGAGGGTAGCAGCATCTTTGCTGAGAAAATGGTAACACTTCTGGGATGAAAAAGGGACTAAATTCCAGTCTCTGTAGTCCAGGAACTGGCTTGATAGCTTTTGGTCTGGGCTACTGTTTTCTGGCAATTCTGAGTAGGTATTCAAAGTGGATGTGGCTGTCTTTTTTTAAGAGATACTGTATGGTTAGCTCTTCTATGGATAGCTACTATCTTCGTTGCTAGTACAGCTTCAGGGCTGTTACAGAGACCATGGAAGAACTGCTTGTCTTGCGAGACTTGTGAGCAAGACTCTTGTTTCACATGGCTAAGTGACAACCTGGATCTGCCACATGCTCGCCTTTGCTACCAAAACAGCTAGTGTTGTCATGATCTCCTAAAAGCTACACCATTTTAAAAGTATTGCTGACAGTCAGAGCTTGTAACACTTTTTAGGCATGTAGAGTCCAGTGTTATTAAGGGTGGGATGGTGTTCTAGTTTTTGTGTATGCCATTTTTATCACCTGGCTGAAACAAAATTCTTGGAAGAAAGGAGCAGCCACAGCAGACAGGTAGGAACTAGTATGTTATTCACATTTTATGCAAAGATGACTTGTTATTTTGCATGTCAGCTGCAGAAATGTTGCAGGCAATACGAGCTGTCACCTCTCGGCTTTCTTTTTCTTTGTTCTAGTCTTTAAAGCAAGCCCTCGGGCCCAATATTCAGAAGTTTTTTAAGAATCTAACTTAAGCAGTCTTCAATGCTCAAATGCCTTCCCTTGTGGTCTGTTATGACAAAAGGAGCATGGAGCAGGTTGTTTACCTGCTCTGGGTCCACAGCATGATTTTATAGGACAGGAATCAACAATCTGTTTTGCAGGATTGCACGGTCCACTTTAACAGTCTTTCTTTAAGAGATAAGCCATAGATCTTCAATAGAACCCCTGGGAGCATTTTGAGACATGAATTTGGACTATGAATCCCCATCCTGAAGCCTCTTGGGGATTCCCTGATAACTATGACTCTCTGTCACAGCAGGGACCCACATGAAAGGTGGCTAGATCTAGCTAAAGAAAGAGGCAAGTTAACTCTATCCTGCTTCCAAATCAGTCCCTCTGTGTGAATACCTTTTCTAGACAAGAGTTACCATACCTCAGGATGTTACCACTCCTACACACCTAATCACATCTGGGACACATAAGGAAGAACTTTGATAGCCTAAATAATTGAGACATGTATGTAGGAGATGGTCAATGGCATCTACTTTACTCTTGTGCTTGCCAGCCATGATGAAGGGTCCCTAAGGAACATCATCCATGAGTAGACTTGGAGATTCAGTGATCAGTTGTTTGCTGTTTCTTCCTGTAAGCGAATTAGTGAACATGTGACAAAGGTGGATGGTGACAAAGGTGGGTCTCTACCCCAATGTAATCTGGTGCAACAAGTTTTAGGTGACTCTGCTCATGTAGGGGGGTTGAAGTAGATGATCTCCATTTGTCCCTTCCAATCTCAACCATTCTGCGATTCTGTAAGGCGATCAGTCAGTTCAGAAGTCAGAGGAACAAGTTTAGCTGTCTGCCTTGGGAAACGCACTTAACCCAAAGTGTGGGAAGGGCACTGCATTCAGGCCTCAAGTTAGGACCTCCTGCGCTGACCATGGCCTGTGGACTAAGGTGGACAAACAACTGACCGAGACTTATTCACTATGTCATTGGTGAAAGGTTCTCTGAGAAGAGCCACGATACAAGTACAGCTGATTTGGAGCCCTTGCAAATCCCAGGGAACAGAGAGGCACTCTGTTTATCATGTGGAAAGGCCTGTTCATGATCCACAGCAGCTGTAAGATGTATCCTTGGTGAATAGGTTAGCCAGGCAAGGCTGGCTAGCCTGTGCTTTGTGAGATTGGCACATGTGGGAGCATGAGGACAGTGTGACATCCTCAGCAAATTCCTCATTTACCCTCTGCATCATGACCAGAAAATTCTTGAGCCCAGGGTCATGTATTTAATCAAAACAATTTGTTGCAGTGGCTAAATCCTGCAGGTTACCTGATCTGTGCTTGGATAATAGGAGCACTTCTTAACATTGCTAAGAAAGCATAGCTCAAAAGTTGGGGGCCTGGGATCTCTGAGAACTGTAGAAACAGTCTTCTGTAATGGAACTGTGAAAATGATTTTGGACTTTTGTAGCGGGTATGTTTCATTAGAGTTAATGAGCATGAGGTTTTCAAGCCATTTTGAATGAAGGCTTATTCCTCAAAGAAATAGAAAAATTTGAGATGTTTTAAAAGGGAAGAATTCACAGCTTTCAGCAAGTGTACGTGAAATCCAATAGCAGCATTGGCTAGCTGCTTTATCTAGGCTGAAAATTTGTCATTTTAATGGAAGTAGTTACAGTTACCTAGGACACTTTCCAGCACCTCAGGGGTGTAGAGGTACTTTTTGTTAGGCAATACAGAGCACCAGGAAGGGAATTCCTATTGTTCACTTATTCACGCTATTTCTGCCTGAATAAGTTCAGAGAACATGGAGTTGGTGGAATGTTGCATGAGGAGAAATTTGCTCAGTCTGACATTGGGATAGGCGACCTGTTTGGAAGCATAGTTACAGTGTCACGGTGATCATGATATTGTTATTCATCTGGAGGGAAGGGGTTTTTCACCCAGTGTCTTTGCTCACCCAGTGAGCAAAGAAAGGCATTTTTTTCCAAAGAATACTGTAGCTGGTAATTTTCCAGACGCCGATCTGGTACAGATTAACAAAGACTGAAAGACTTTGGGGGCATATGGATTCTCCAGAGTGTTTATGCCCTCTTACACATCATTTAGTTTTGCTGTTAGAAAGCAGCATTTGTTTTGCTAGATTTCTTCTGAATAGCAACTTAGTCACTTCAGTCCTGTTGTTAGGTACCGTGGTTCTTAGGTTGTTATTAAGCTTAAGGCACATGACTGATATTTCCTGTTTGACAGTATTTTGTATGTAAAATCTCTCTCCTAGTGTATTTTTGGCAAATGAAGAAGGAATATCAAATAACTGCCCATGTTAGGGTGTTTTCTCTTTCATGGTGTGGTACAGTTATGCTAAAGAACAGCAGTTATTAGGTGTAAGCATCTCTAATAAGCAAGTAAGAGAGGAGCCCTTGATACCATGAACTCTTGCCAGGACTGCATCAGAGCACTGAACAGTTCAGCTGCAGGGTTTTTGGAGATAAACCTGTCCTTATGACTAGAAGAAATTAGTACTGTGTGATGCATGTTGTCTTTGTATTAAACATTTGCAGCCACTGACACTCCTCTGGCAGCCTGTTTTGATCAAAAATCATCTGGAGATGTTTTGGGATTACTGTTGTTGACCTGTGACCATCGGACAGTGAAGGCTTGTTCTGACATTTTACATCTGCATGTTCTGTGAAGACAGATGCAACTTCTAAAGGGACCTTCTGGGGCCCCTTCCAACCTAAATTACTCTGTGAGCATCCTTATAATGAGAAATGGAAGAGAAGCCTCCTTCTGCAATTTGAGGTTCAGGGGTCTTCATTTGCTTGGTGTGCTGCTCTGCCTGTTCTGCATTGCATCTCTGCTTGTCTAGAAAGTAAGATTATATCGGCCTGTTCGGTCATAGGGAGAATAATTCCTGTGAGATGATCATAGTGCCTATATAACCAATGTATATATCATATTAATATGTCAGTATCATATCATATCTTCATATCATATTATCATAATTTTGTGTGGGGGAAATGGAGGATGGTAATGCAGATTAAGAGGTGGGATTTCTTGCCCTTCAGTATTTCTGGGCTCCTAGTGAAGGAAGGAATCTTGATAAATATCTTCTTCACTGCTCCTTATTATCTAGTTTCACTAAATGCAGGTAAATGCAATGCTCCTTCAAGGGAAATGATAGCACAGATTGGTCCAACCACAGATTTTAAGAAGAATCTTATTCTGTGCCTTGTTGTTTTTCAACAATGAATTACAGTTACAGAGTTCTTTATTAATGCAGCAAAAAGAACAGCCCACGAGCATCCCGAAAAAAATTACTTTTTTTTGCTCTTATGGCTTATAACTCTAAAAAGATAGAGACAGTCTGCAGGTAGAAGCATGCTTTTTTCTTGTTTTGCCAAAGATGAACAAATGATTCTTTTAAGAGAAGAACTGCCCAGGATGGAATATGTTGAGTGACTAATTCTGTGTAATTTGCCCCTCACAATTATACAGTGCTTTGTGCTACTCAGAAAACTTTTTGAAATAGTCTGCCTTTGTAAGACATCTGGTGTGATGGATAGGAACAAGCATACTACTACTTCAGCACCAGTACATAACTGATGTGTGGAAGCTGATGTTTGCCTGAGCCCGGACTGCATTTTGAAGATGGGATAGAATGCAGCTGTGTGAAACTTCCTGCTCTTTTCTTCACTTTTGAGGTGTTGCTTCCTTCTGACTTACGCCAGTGGCAATTCCATCAACATCTTCTTTCCTATCTTTCAGGTCCTGATACCAGATGACTACTCAGATCCATTTGATGCCAAAAGTGAGTTGAACAAAATGAGGAAAGGGGAGAACACGGGCTATATGGAACCATACGAAGCCCAGAGAATAATGACTGGTAAGAGGAAAGAATTGCAGATGTGTGTGTGGTTTAATTCTGAGGCAGTTCACATGAGTACTACAACTCTTCTGAAACAGGAATGTCTTTGGGCACATGGACGTGTGTTTTTGAAGATGTGCAGACAGTCAGTAGTAAATGTTGGGGAGGCTCTTGTAGAACTGTCTGCCTTGGCACCTAACTATTCCTCTGGATCTGGCAGTTGAGCACAGAGTGACCTAGGCCGTATTGTAGGAAGATGACAGTGATAGGAGTATTGGGAGTGTGCATGGCCCTGCGAGGTATTGGCAAGACTTGTGTACATAGCAGGGATGGCTGAAGCATGATACTGCGTTAGCTGACTTAATTATCCAGTTTCCTTCTGACTTTGCTGCTCTGCCTTTTTTCAGCTTTTTGGTCCTCCCTTTACTGGAGGAAGGCTGCAAAGTTGCACCCTCATGTTGTTTTGTTCTGTGATTCTCTCGTGCTCTGTTTTTCTGTGTCTGTGGACAAAATGTGACCCTTTAGGATCCCTTTGTGTATTCAACCGCTACTCTTTATAGGCTGCTTATTTTGTTGCCGTGAAGGTAGGTGGCTTATGGAAGTACTTTGTTCTCATATTATGTAAGGTATATAATGTAATTATTACTCACGCGTTTTCCTCATATGATCTGAATTCATTTCCTACAAATTGGCTTTTGCAGTCTGTAAACTCCTCCAGGGGCCTGAAGCCTTATCTTCTGTATTTATACATGTTTGACTCAGCACATACCTTTGCGCAGGAGCAGTGCTGCATTTTCCAGATGTGCAGTAGGTCCTTTTATTCTCCTTATAAGCTGAAGGTCACAATAATTCTGTATTGCCTAGTTAAGTTATTTGTGTTTTTCTTATCTAGTAACAACTCCTGCTTTTGTTTAGGAAAGATTAATCAGTGGGAGAAGGTGAGGGATTTTGATGCAAAGATCCATGTTGTCTGTTCTCAGTTTTCTTTTTTTAAAGAGCAAGCCTGGTGAAAGGCACAGGAGATGACCTGCAGAGTACATTGTTTGGAAGCTTTCCGAAACTTATAAGGGGAGTAAGAGTATTTATCTTCTTCATGTAAATCTCATTTTAGCCGAACAATCTTTAAATAAATAAATAAATTGCTTTGAATAGATTCTTGCTACTTAAACAGCATTGATGAAAGAGTGCTTTTTCCTCGGTAGCAATATAATAGTGAGCATTTTCGATTTGAAATTGACAGTGTACTGATTTCCCTCTCCTTATATTTAGGTCAAGAAATTATTCTGTATCCTCTTCCAGGGCTAGGCATAATAAACGGAATGATTATGTGGACTATACTGCGTGGGTTAGCAGTCATTTTCTGTAGTTTTACAATTGTGAAACATTCGTCTACAGCCTCCTTGGGCAAATCAATATTTGGTGCATCTGAGGATCTGGCAGCTCTGCTGTGTATGTTCTTACAAAGCAGATGTGAAGAGCTCTCAGATGATAAAAGTATTTCCAAATACTGTGGTTTGATTGAATATATTTGTATTCAATTGTATTATCTTCACATTTATATACGAATATTTAATTGAATATATTCAATCAAACTGCAGTGTTAGAAATGCTTTTATCACTCAACAGGTATCTTGAATATACCTTTGAGCTGGCTTAACTCCTGAAGATGCTGAGTGCTTTTTTGACAGCTGGGCATTTGGTTTCCTGTCGTCTTGTCCTGATGCTTATAAAGGAAAAGAGTAAGTCTTCCAGTGAACCAAGATTATTCAGTATGCAATTCTCATATGATTTTTTTTTCTATTGTATAACTGCTACAGGGTAGCCATTCTAAAGAAAACTTTTTGATTTAGTTTGGTTTGGTCTCAAAATGAGACCAGCAGGGACACCTCTCAGCAGAGAACAGCAACAACGAAAAAGCCGCAATTTTTGCTAAATGCTTCCAAGAAGCCCCCAGGTCTGCCCAGAAGGGCAGTGCTCTCAAAGTGAATTCAGCCGCCTGCAGGGTAACACTACCCCCTTCTCCCAGTTCAGGCCAGTCCTCAGGGGTGGCCAGTGGGTCAAGCACGTAGCTACCAGCCAGTAGCTCAGATGGGGCCGTTCAGGAAGCCAAGGGTGAGTGACCTTTGCTAGGTCCTCACCTTCTCCTTTTGTCTTTTCCAACCACGGCGTCGTTGTTTGTGTGTCCTGCCGGCTACGCCACATGTAAGGATGGGGCAACAGGTTGCCCAAGCATCCAGCAGGAGCCGGCACACAAACACAAGGCAAGCAGTGGTCAAATTAAGGCTTTTATTACCTCCACTTCTTGCCATGGAACGATGCTCAGCTGTGCCTAGAAGCTCCCCATCATTTTCATCCCCCTGCCGGGAAACTGAGGAGCCTCCGTACGGAAGCAGAGGTAGTAAAAGTATACATGAAAACCACTACAGATACCAAAAATGATACTGTTTTCCAAAAATCCTGAAAACTAGGTGGACAAGAAAAGAAGAAAGTAATCTTTTCCAAAAAGATGCTGGCATTGCTGATGCTGCCATGATATCCAAATCCTAATGAGATAAATGGGGAAGGGTTGGAAGACAAAGAGGAGAAGAAATAGGAAAAAAAAAAAAAAAGATAACACTGCTGTAATTCTTTCCTATAAGGCTGCTTTGTTTGAGAGGTCTAGCAGTAGAAAGGACTCTGTTCTTCCACAATAGCCCTGGAGCATTGGGAAACTACAGAGTAAATCCCAAAAGGATTCCCTCTGGGTCTCTTGCAAAGCGTCAGCTGTCTCCCTGATCCAGGTGCAAGTTGAGTGCTTCCACTTTAACTCTCATGCATGCTGTTGCTCTTATTTTGCCTCCTAGCATTGGTCATGCTGGAGGGAGATTGTTTTCCCCTTAAGCTGCTCTAAAAATCACAAGACCTTATTGCAGGGTCACATGTCCAGGGGAAATCCAATCTTGGATCATCATTCAGCTGTATTCTTGAATCATACGTATCCTGTGATATAAGTTAGTTGGGGTCTGTGCTTGCTCAAGTCTCAGCCATGGAGTCTGGAAGAAACACAGCACAGCAAATCTGAGGGCTTTTTCTTCTCCTCTCCAGCTCATGGGAAGAGGAGAAAGGTGTGGTAAATCTGCTTGGTTTTCTTTCTGTCATGTCTGCAACAGTTCTGCACTGTTGTGAACAAGAAGGTGTTTTAAACCCTTAGTTATAGACAACACAACGATTTACTTCCTTCCAGCAGACAAGTTGCTGAGTGTCTTCGAGAATTCAATGTCTGTGTCCATGCAGCTTCACAGCTACAAGGCCCACGAGTTCAGCCTGTTTGCCTATGAGACATATTGTCCTTCTGAATGCCAGTTTTCTGACCATGTGCTGTATGCCTGCTGCAAGGTGAACTTTCCCGAATTCTGCACCAAATGCTGGTGAAGACCCATGCTAAAGAGCCCTGTGCTCCTCTGGGCAGTTCCATTCTGACACTGGGGAGAAGTGCAAGTGTAGGGAGACCAGTCGGCCTCCCAGCCCCCTTGGTGGCACCACCTGGCTGCAAAATGTGGCTGTGATCCTGTTCCTGCTCCTGTGTGAGCAGTGCCCAAATATGGAACAGAATATTTTAACCCACCAGGAGTCCTTGCTGATCTGGCTGCTGACTCCATTCTCCTCTGTGACAGGAGATTTTGTTTTCTCCTTTTCTCTCTCTTTCCTCTCTCTCCCTTCTCTCTCCCTCTCTCTCTCCCTCTCTTTTCTTCTATTCTACCTCTGTTTCTTCTAGAAGAAGTATTCTATTCTTCTTCTTCTACTTCTTTTTTCATAATTTCTTTTTTTCTTCCTGTACTTTTATTGACTGGAAGCACATTGCAGAGAAACAGTTTTAAGTGCTGTTCTCTCTGGCAGGAGGATATTAAATGAGGAATTCTGTAGATGACATTGTGAATCAGGCTCTTATGTGGTAGAGTACCCTGAAAAAATAAACTGTTGTGATATTAAACCTTCCATGTGGGGGAAAGACAGCCTACCAGCTGGGGATGGTTCAAAACCTGAGATGTTTAATCTGTTGCTCACATTTTCCTTGAAAAAATGGAGAAACAGTTTGGAAGAACACAGCCAGGAACTAGAAGGGGGAAGCAATCATGCCCTCTCCTTGTCCTCAGGAGGAATGCACCCACTGTCCCCATCCTGCGAATTACTTCACATAGCAACCCTGTGCAGAAACAAGGCAAAAAAAGGCATTCGAGCTCTAGCGTTCAAATTAGTTCTCACTTGCATGCTAGGTAATTTCCATTTAGGCTACGCCGTGTTTAATATGAGCAAGTTACATTGCCCGTCATAGAGGATGCAAGGTGAGCACTGCCAAATCCTCCAGCATTCATTCCCCAATGTGGGACAAGCTAACTCACAGGTAAGATGCAAACTGATTTGCACAATGCCCTTAAAGAAATAGCCCTTTTTTCTTTTTTTTTTTTTTTAATGCACTCAGTATATCATTACCTCCTGCATGTGAGTTCTGTGCAGACAGACAAAGGCAGGAAAGGGATTTTGGTGACTGCCAAAGAATTTTTCATCTTTTGGAATAATGGGGCAGAGCACAGGGAGGGCAGCTACGGGAGGGAAGAGCAGGGAATTACATTACATTGAAGTAAAAGTGATTCCCTAAAACCCCCTCAAAAATACTGTGAAAAAAGTCTACAGGAGGATAATGTCCTTACTGTTCAGAAAGCTATATTAGGTTTACACATTACAGATACAGCAAATCTGAAAAAATCTTAAAGCAAACCCTACGATGACAATACAAGTCACATGGATCTGCATAATTATAACAACAACCACATTATCCTCCTGTAGATTAGCTTCTTTTACAACATGCAAAAGACAATGGACATTTTCTTCACCTCAAACTAAAGCATCCAGTAGCTAGTGGTCAAAACATGTAATCGCATTGCTTTTTATTGTTGTTTTTTAAAAAGCACCAAACATTTCCATAAGGTTCGGTTTACTGCTGGGGGACACTTATTTGACATACCATGCCACTGTAAGCC